AAAAAATAGCAATAATTGGTAAAAAGGTACAAAAAAATGAAGTTAATCCTTTAAATGTTTTCGACTTTCTAAACTTATCTTACAAGCTCCATATTCCGCCTAGAAAAACTTTTTAATATGTTTAAAACGTGTGCTAAATTTGTTAAGATCGGTCGGATAGGTTTTGCATAATAATTTTGCAATCCAGCCTATTGGAAAAAAATTGCAAAATTTTCCAATTTACAGTAGGCCCTAAATATAGCACTCAGATAGTTGCAAATTTTTTTTGTATATAAAAAAAAGATCAATGTTTCAAACGCTTTTTGTAAAATTTAAATCGGTTGACTTTGAATAACTTTATGAGCTGTAAACATATCAATTTCAAAATTTATACACTTAAAGAACATTAAAAGACGCTTCTTTAAAAAAAAGATACATTCGGCTTACTGGTTGCCGAGATATTAAAGGTCAAGGTTGGCATACACTTGCCATACATTTGGCATACATTTGTTTTTTAACAAATAATGATATATCGCAAGAATCAACCATTTTTAATGAAAATAGTGTTACTAAGGAAGAAACTAAACGCAGCGGATGCAAAATTATATCGGCATTTTATATGGGCCACTCAAAGTGCGATTTTACATCATAAAACTCGCTACTTGTGCTTTAAAAAAGGTTGTAAAAATAAACATTTTCAATTGTCCATGCTGCCACCAACACAATCTGCAGCTGAGCAACACTCGCTTCGTGTATAGCACGAGTTTCCAAGTACAACAGTGGCTTGGAAATAACCTGAATGCTACTGAGTGGGGATGGGAACTAACTCAAAATGGTCTTGAGCCAATACAAACTGAGCATGCATTACTACCTGACCATTCAGAAATATTAGTTGCAAATGTAAAAAACTTTGTTCAAAAACATGCAGTTGCATCAAATAGTCTCAAATGTTCTGGGTATTGTCTTCACTGCAATGGGCAGCCATGTAAAAATATTGAACACATTAAAATATTGGAAGAAGTTGAACGAGATATGGATATGGAGTCGATTTATTCCTTAGATTTTCTAGAGGCACAACATAAAGCTGCAGATGAAGGCGAAGAAACATTAAATATACAGACCGACGATAAAGATATTGAAATGGAAAATGATGGTTTTGAGAAAGAACTAAGACCTGAAGATTCTTGTCCTTCCAAAAAGGAAATAGACTAAAATTATTGAAGATTGAGTCAAAATAAAGTTTATTTATGAAAAAAAAAGTTAATTAAAAATAGTATTTGAAAATATGATATTTGAAATCCTTGTCGTTCGAGACATCGATTCAAAAAAAAAAAAGCAAAATTGGTTAACAAGAAGCCGAGATAATGATTTTTTAACTTGCCGATTAACATTTCGAGTGAATGTCCCCCACCACCACTTTTCATGCATTCCGAGCGACATTTTACGCGAAAACGGTTTTTTATTTGTCTTTTTATGGATGTTGCCATGAAGCGCATTACGTAAAACTGTTCATATAAAAAGTACTTGACAAGACGAGGGTATTTGTTTAAAAACGAGCCCTCTATCATTTATGGTTACACGGCAAATGTATGCCAACTTTGACCTTCCATAATAACTCAGCAACCACTAAGCCGAATGTATCTTTTCTTTTTTTAAAGAAGCGTCTTTTATTGTTCTTTAAGTGTATAAATTCTGAAAATGATATGTTTAAAGCTCGTAAAGTTATTCAATTTGTTTATAAGCTTAAAAAATGTTTAAAATTAAAAAAAAAATTCTAGGCTCTCCAAGTGAAAAGATTTGAATTTTACAAAATGCGTTTGAGCCTTCCTTTATATGTAAAAAAATATGCAACTACCTGAAGGCCTTAATTAGGGCCTACTAATATATTTGAAAAAATCCGACTAAGTGGAAAAGCATGCGAGAGGCCTATGTTCAGCAATGGACGTTAGAGGCTAGTTGATGATGATGATGATGATATATTTGAAAATTTGCGATTTTTTTCCAGTAGGTTGGAATGCAAAATTATTATGCAAAACCTATCCGACCAAACAAAAATTTAGCACACGTTTTAAACCTATTAAAAAGTTTTTATAGGCGGAATATGGAGCTTGTAAGTCAAGTTTAGAAAGTCGAAAACATTTAAAGAATTGGCTTAATTTTTTTGTACTTTTTTTTCCAATTATTGCTATTTTTTCAACAATAAACATTAAATTTTCAATTTCTAGCTAACGAAATATTGTGTAAAATTGAAAAGCGAAACTTTTAACTTTTTATAATTTTTTCTCTAGGACCAATATTTTTCGAATTATAAACGAAAATAGAAGCAAAAAAATGAGAAATTTTTAATTGTTTTCAGAATTTGATAAGTAAAAAATTTAGCACAGGGTTTGCGACTGGCGCATATCTTGATTTCCGATATTGGGCACATCCTAAATAGATTCCAGCAAAAAATAGCTTCCTATGGAAAATTTCTATAATGGTCTGAATTTCTACTGATCCCACCTAGTCTATCGAGGCAATGGTTGAAAATGGTACAAATATCTCGGTATAAAACAAGCGCGGAAATTTGACCATAAACAAATAAAAACTAAACTAACCTTGGAGTTTGTGCGAAGAGTAAGACAACTAAATCGGTCATACTTTAATAGTAAAAATTTGTTTAAGGCATTAAATACGTACACCTGTTCCGCACTAAGCTACACATTTGGTATTATAGAGTGGTCAAAAACGGATATAGAGGGTCTCCAGTGGAAAGTAAGAACTCACAAAGACGCAAAAACATCATCCACGCAGTACAGTAGAGACAACAACATTACCGCGGTATTAAGGGGGAAGGGGACTTATGGATATAGGTGAGCAATCGGATAATTAAACTGCTAATTTAAGAACTTATTTTAAGGTACAGGCTACGACATCTACTTAACATCGAGCAATTTGCGCAATAGATGATACGACACCGCTTAAACTAAGGGAACAAGAAATGCGCATAAACCAACTGACTCAGCAAGAAAAAATGCGCAACTGGATGGGTAAACCTCTGCATCGGCGACATCTCAATTAGATCTGCCAAAAATATGTCGACAATACAGCGTCGAACTATTTGTAAACATCAGGAAAGATTTTTCCCAAGACTGAAGGTTTCGTACTTGCCATTCAGATAAGGTTAGTTCAACTAAAAATTACCTGAAATATATTGTTAAAGATCCTGAAGTCCAAAATGACAAATGCCGATATGGATGCCAAGCCCAAGAAACCATCCAACATCTTACCGGTAACTGCCAGGCATTTGTAGGTACTGATTATAAACAACACCATGACTTAGTAGGAAAGATTATCCACCAAGAACTAGCTGACAGTGTGAGCCGTATGGCTAAATCTGGATAATAATAATAAAAATCCCAAATACTGAACTTAACTGACACAGGTTTTAGAATAATAAAATAACACTACTGTTGTTGCAAAGCTTAATCATCTGTTGTATATGGTTGATTTAAAACTATTGGCTTTCATTTAAAGCCACCTGGATCAGATGCTAAAAACAGTAGAAAATATCTCTAATGATATTAGTATACATTTCGGTCTTGACAAGTGCGTGTCTTAAATAATATAATCAAAGGAAAGGAATAAACTTTTTATTTGATCTATATTGACAAAGTTGTTTCATTCTCTTTAAATGTGACTCTAAAGCCCCTCTTGTTTCTGGTCTGGAAGAACCGACATTGGTCAAATAAGCAGCAATGGATTTGATTCTAGAATGCGACATGTGGGTTACTGACTGAAAAGTAGTAACGCTTACACACCATCGATTTTTCGTATAAAGTAATCATTGCCCTGTTGTTTCTTAAGATTAGGATGTCGTTTGTGTAGTTGTGGAGTCTATGGTTTTATAAATTTTGTCAGAAAGTGTTTTTGCAACGCGGCCGATTTATGTTCATATACGTGATTCAAGCAAAGTCGAATAAAAATACCAAACCTAAGAATACTTTACATACATAAACTATAACACTTACCTTGGATATCTTCTTGAGTCAGTTTTGTGCTTTACACAATTTAGTGAAAGAAGTGTGTTTGCACACTGTGGTCCAAAAAAAAAAATAAAGATGCATACCCAACTTCGTGTATACAGAGCAATTGTAGAACTAATTACCACATATAGTGCTAAATGTTGGACGATGACAAAGAATGAACGAGATAAAGTAGACGTTGTGGAAATGGATTATCTTAGAAGGTCATGTCGAGTATCGAGAATGGAAATAATCAGGAATGACCAAATACGAAACCGTCAGGAATTAGAGATACTCTTTCAGATAGAATACAAGGAAGGCAATTACAATGGTATGGTCACGTGATGAGAATGGAGGAGAAGCGGTGGCCAAAAAGAACCTTAATGTATGTTCCAGAAAGAAGGAAAAGGGGAAAACCACCAAATTCCTGGAAAAGATAAATTACAAAAACAATGCAATCTAGGGCTTAGAAAAGGGAGGTTTAAAAGATAGGAAAAAAAGGAGGCTGAAATGCGGGAAGCGGCAATCACCGTAGGCCTCCTGCTATATGATGATGAGTGTGTTTGCAACACATTTTGGATTTTTACCTACTGCTCTACTACACTTCTACTACTTCTCTTAAATAAAGTGTAACAGTCCCTTTATAATTTTTACTCAGGATTAAATATTTAAGGCAAAATAACTACTCCTAAAATGCCATAACACTTCCTCTTAAATCAATGTCAATTCAAGCGCAGTTGCAATCATAGCGCATGTCCAAAGAACTTAATGTCATTTTGGAAACATTCTTAAAAGCATGCATTAATTTTGATGATCAGGACTTGCCATATTTTGCAAAACATGTCTTATCATAAATCGTTAAACACAACTCTTGGTTATACGATGCAGTAAAAATCTGAATTTATGATTTTTTTGACTTGGTAGTAAGTTTTGGAATAACGCTCTTTATTTTAACTAAAACTATTTTTCTGGAAAACAATTTGCTTATTTTAATACTTAATATCAATTATTTTACAGTTATATGGTAACAACTATACTACGCAACTTTTTTAATTGGTTTAGATGGCGACCAAAGATAAGCAAGCCGCTACCTATTTTACAAAAAAATAGTTCAGATGAATTACAGGAAATTCCAAAAGGCAAGCTTAATGTGATAGTTAACGTTATAAGTGCCAAAACCTTGCCAAGGAGAAAAAAAGGTACCTTTAATAAAGATGAAATAGATTATATTGAATTATGCCCATATGTTGAGGTTAGTTACAATAATATACTAGCAAGAACCAATACTAGCACAGGTACTAATCCAAGTTGGAATGAAGTTTTAGCAATACCATTAGAGTAAGTATTGATTGTGAGTTTCTACCAAAAAATGTTGCTAGTTATTTTAAATTAAAATATTAATAGATTGAAAATCAACACCATTTAATTAGAAATATTATGTATTATGCATAATATGTAATATATTTATATAAACTCCAACTTCAGCATAAACCTGAAACATCAGTTTAGTTTACTAACTAATCGAAAGAAAGAAGAGACGAATCGAAGACACACCTTATCTTCTTTTTCAGCCTTAAGTAATATAACTTTTGACATAGGCCTCCCCCAAATCAATCCAGTGTCTTCTATTTTGCGCCACTTGCTTCCACAAGAAATCTACGTTTTGTAGCTGACTGTATACCATACATTAAAAAAAATTTATTAAAAATCATTTATAAAAGATATATATTTAAAAACCCAAGCGAGCTATGTTATACAAAACGTTTTCGGAATCCATATTCCATCATCAGTGTCCTAAAAAGTATATAACCACTTAATTAAAAAGAACATGAAATTTAACTTTTGACCAAGGTTAATGCAAAATGTGGTTAATACTTACTAGGTATACATGAATGTAGCCACTAAATATGTGCATAAAAACCCGTTAAAAATTATTTGATTGCAATCAGTTTACATTATTTGTTATTTATTAATAGGATGTTAAAGTTACCGTTCGATTTGGTAACATAGCAACATATGACTCCACGTTGAAGTTGCTAGTCCGAGACGGTATGTCTACGAGGACTGTAGGAGTTGCTCCCATACAGTCCTCGTAGACACACCGTCTCAGGACTAGCAACTTCAACGTAGAGCCATATGTCGCCATGTTACCTAATCCAACGGTAACTGATTGAAATGACAATCTTGACAAGTTAGGACGGAAGTCGTAACAGAGCAGTCAGTGTCTTAGATAAGGAAAGAGAAAGGACGCGTAACCGTATCGCTAAAGGTGAAGCCAAACTGCCACCAGAGGAAGTGGTCAGCGGTATATATTTGTATTTTTAAGGATCGACTAATTCGTATTTAAAATGAAACATATTTGTACATTAAATGTTTTATTTAATTTATTTTATATTATACAAATATTTTAGAATCAAAATTAACAAAATTTATTTATTTATTTACTTATTTATGGAATTTTATGGAATATTTTATGGAAGTTTAACCCTCAACGCACATCGCCACTGGCAAATCATCATGGTGTGTGAGTGAAATTATTAATTATAATACAATTACTGAAATAACTATTTATAGTTAGCATTCTTATTTAGTAATTTAGATCTCACCTTTCCTTAAAATACTAATTTAAATTGGTTTTGAGGTTTCAAATTGAAATAAAAAGTAAAATCAATTAATACCTAATTGCACTATTATAAATATTTACCTATGAAACGATATTCCTGATGTTTTCTGCTCGCTGCGACTTTTACAAAGAATATATGCAAAATTCACCATTTTGTTAAGTAAAAAAAAATAGGTATTTAATTCACGTTTTTTAAAAAACTACAAAAACAAAACTGGTGTCGGGTCTATTGTTTGCCACCAAAAAAAATGGCGGACACATCAAAAACTGGCATCACTTTTTGAAGGTTGGTTGAACGAGCGTTACCTGTCCTCTCCCTTTCCTTGTCTAGGTCAGTGTAACTTATTTGTTTACTTAAGACAGAAGCCAACGTTATTTAAAATTGTAAAAGTTAAAATAAAATAATATAACAGTATCAACCATCAATGTTGTTGTTTTAAATTATGTATGTGAGATGAATTGTGGTGAGAAAATTATGTAGTAAAAGTTAGGTAACCAACTATACATGTGTCCAGTAGTGTTGTGAATTAGAGATTCTAATATACGGCCCTTTATGATTCAGCTAGCGAGTTTTCACTATCTGTGTGAAAAAACCTGGGTGAAAAAAGTCTTCATTACAAAAAATATTTAGAATTAGTAAGTTTATTTATTTCGGAACTTTAAAATATTGATTTCACTCCGAAGAAGGTGTGGTTTTCATTCCCAAGAAGGTGTGGTTTTCACTCTCCAAGTAAAATAAACCCTAGGCTTAGGTCACAAAGCAAAGTAGAGGGTAGATCACGACCAATTTTCGCGAATGAAAAGGTCATTTATGTAATCAACCAAGTTTTTAGTATTTCGGCCACAAAAATAAGTAAGTATGATAAAAATCGACGTTATTCATAAATGAATACTGACACCGTTCCTGAGAGTGGCGTACTTTAGTAGCCGTCTGGAAAATTGTATATTAAAATGCAGAACATTAAAATCATACATAAAAATACTGGTATTAACAAAAATAAAAAGTAACAAAATCAAATACATACACTAATTAAACTTGGCGGTAAACAATATAAATGTGAATTTTTCAAGACAGAAAGACGGAGAAGTAAATACATGTTGCATTAATGTGAAATTTTCAGTCATATTGCCAATATTAAAGGAACATATTAATAAAAGTTTATTTAATCAAAAGACTGATACGTTTTTTGTACACACTTATGACAAGTCAAAGGAAAAAGTAAAAAAGTATTTTTGAAGTGTGTATATTTTAAATAATTCCTAGCTGAGCGCTTTCGGCTTTACAAAGCCATCATCGGAGCTATGCTACAATAAAATGTTCTTATAAGTACTAATTGGTGAAGATTTTAATTTTTTAACTTACGTCAATTTATAAATACCACTACAATTGAGAGATCTCACTGATTGAGACTGAGATAAAAAACCGACACTGGACTTCACAGATACATTAAAAAATTGAAACATTTTTTGTCATGGTACGGGTGTAAGAACCCGACCATTGATTGCTGTGAGGAGGTAGACAGAATAGAACTAATGAAATCAAATGTCGGTCCTTTTAAACGATTTTTCAAAAGTGACAGTTGACAAATGTCATATATAGAAAATAGAGATTGTTTTTTTAAATTCTTACAAAATTATTTAATAGTTTGGAATTACTAATAGTCATCAAAGACTTTCTAATTCATTTGACAGTTATTCTTAATTGAAACATGAAAATATATTCTTTAAATTTTTTTATGCAAATTTCTTACAAATTTCCATCAAAAGATAGAATTCTCAATACACTTAAGTATCAGATAATCTAAAATTAATATACCCGGTTCGCTATTCCCAGTCCGAACTGTCTAGTGATTTTAGTAATTATTTTTTTGCGAAGTTAGTTACTTTTTGACAGACTCGAAGTGGCTGGAAATTACTATACAACCAAGCATACGTGCTCTTAGTCAATATTAATGTAAACAAAAGTAAATAAAATAGAACTTTGCCGACAATCAATATTTATTTATTTACACCGTATAATGTATTGACGACAAATAATAAAATTATTTATTGTACAAAATAAAAAAAGCGGGAATAAATTCTACAAAATTAAAAAGTCAAAGTGAGGTTAAATAAGACACAGCAAGTTCCTTATGTTTTGACTAGGATGGAATCAATAATTAAAGATTAACAGTTCATTAGATAGCATTAACATAAACTGTTGTTTTATTATCTTACAAAATAAGTGTACTTCCGCTTCCATATGCTAAAAGCAAATATTAGTAATTTGACTGGGCAAATTCGTGGTTCAATAGTAATTTTTGCTCATTAGCATTTGAGGATGTTAAAATCTTTCACATATGGTGAATGAATTCAGTGTCCTGGCCGCAGTCTGCAGTCATATAAACCCAAACAAACAACAAAAACCTCCATGTAAGTATAAACAAGTTTATATTAAATTAGAAACAACTAATCTAAAAATATTAACTTTTAAAAAACATTTTATCATATTTATTAAGAAAAACTTACCAACGCATTAGCTGATGGAACAAATGGAAATCTTTGGTTATCCATAATAATAAAATTTAAAATATAACTAACTAATTAACTGAATAGAACTAACAAAAGAATTAAACAAAGATAATAAAACAATAAAACTATATTAAATTAAATAAACAACGCGAATAATACAAATATTTACTACAATATTTTAAATTGTAACAATTCAAATATTATATTTTAAATATACAGGGAAAATTTGATGGGTTTAGTATACACTTCCACTATTTAGAATAATTCTTCTTTTTTTCAAAGAAAGAAGTCTGCAATAGTAGTATACTTGCGCTATTAATACTGAGAAGTAGGAATTGTTGTGTTGTAGGTTTCCGACAATGAGTCTGTCAAAATATGCCCTATCTAAGCGAATAGACAATACCATGTTCCTTCTTTATATTATTGTTGAATAATTTGAGCCCTTGTTTCTTAAGCATGACTGTCAGATTGACCATACATTGACCTTGAGCAATGACTTGAGTGAATTTACAAACTAATATCATCTGTACGATGTGATGAACACATAAGATTTAATTTAAAAACTTAAAAACTTAATTTTTAGAAAGTCTTTGATGCCTATTAGTAATTCCAAACTATTAAATAATTTTGTAAGAATTTAAAAACAATCTCTATTTCCTATACATGACATTTGTCAACTGTCACTTTTGAAAAATCGTTTTAAAAGGACCGACATTTGATTTCATTAGTTCTATTCTGTCTACCTCCTCACAGCAATCAATGGTCGGGTTCTTACACCCGTACCATGACAAAAAATTTTTCAATTTTTTAATGTGACTGTGAAGTCCAGTGTCGGTTTTTTATATGTTTTTATATGTTTTTTAAGAATTTTAACAACTAAAAAATCAATATTTCTACATATAAGGAAATGAGATTTCTCCACTGTAGTGGTATTTATAAATTGACGTAAGTTAAAAAATTAAAATCTTCACCAATTAGTACTTATAAGAACATTTTATTGTAGCATAGCCGATGATGGCTTTGTAAAGCCAAAAGCGCTCAGCTAGGAATTATTTAAAATATACACACTTCAAAAATACTTTTTTACCTTTTCTTTTGAAAAGTTTATTTGACTTAATCATTCACTCATCCCAGATACCTACAGTATCAACAGGATTGAGCTCTCGTGGGACTCTTTCTATATTATCGAGTCTTAGGTGACTTGATACGTCGGTGTCTCTCAAAAATTTTCTCACGCATCTGGACGTCGAAAGTAGCACAGATTTCTGCATGATCTTATATAGATATTCATTTAGACCCAACTTTTTTATGATTTCTAGGAGGTTCTTCGGAATTATTCTAGTAGTAGAAAGAATAATAGGTATCGCCTGTGTACTTCTTATTCTCAATTGTCTCCTTATTTGTATTTTCAGATCTCTGTACTTGGCGATTATTTCGTTTTACTTAACAAGCCGATTATTATTGGTATGTATCGCCATATCAATAAGAGTTGTTTGTCTCGTTAGTTTATTAATTAGCACCAGATCTGGTCCATTATGTGCTACAGTATAGTCTGTGAGTACAGTGCAATCCCAGTATAGCTTTTAGTTGTCATCCTCAAGAATACTCTCAGCAACGTAATGATAATATGGGAGATGGTTTGTTTGTAGAAATCACAGTTTAAAAGCTGTCTCTTGATGGAGGATCTTCCCTACTGAGTCATGCCGTTCCTTATAATCAGTAGTACCAAATGTCTGGCAGCCCCCTGTGAGATGTTGGATAGTTTCTTGGGCTTTACATTCATCTCGGTATTTGTCGTTTTGGACCTGACGGTCTTTAACGATATATTTCAGATAATTTTTGGTTGGTATAACCTAACCCTAATGGCAACATTCAGGATCAGGTTATATTCTTCGTTCGGCTGTCCTCCCTGCAAAGGTTTCCCATCCTGATGCGCATTTTTTCGTTCTTAGTAAGATGGTTTATACGCATTTCTTGTTCCCTCAGTTTGATCGTTATTATGTCATCTACTGCACAAATTGCAGGATGAAGAGTAGATGTCTTAGCCTGCACTTGAAAATAAGTTATAAAATTACTATTGGTCTACTTGCTCCCTTATATCTATAAATCTTTTGTGCCTTTGTGAGGTGTGTTCGTACTTTTCGCTGAAGAGTTTCTATATCCATTTTAGTCCACTTAATAATCTTTAATTAGTAGCTAAGCGCGGAAAATTCGTAGGTGTTTAATGCCTTAAACAAATTTTTACTATTAAGATATGAGCGCAGTAGCTGTTTTACCCTTCGTATGAACTCTGATGTTAATTCGATTTTCATTTGTTTTTCCGCGCTTGCTTCACTCCTAGAAATTTATACGTGTGTCATTTTCGCCCATAGCCTTAATGTTTAGACAATTTTGCATATCAAATCCCCCAGGCTGACTCTTTACCTTGAATATATTTAGTACACGGCAGTTGTCTAACTTAAAGTGCATACTGATATCATTTGAAAAAGTTTCTACAGTTTATAGCGTTTGATCTAAGCGATTTCGAGTGGAAGCCATTAGTTTCAAATCATTCATATACAACAGATGATTGAGCTTCGCCATTACAATGTTGTTTCTATTATTGCTAAAACTTGAGTCAGTGGAGTTCAATAGCTGGGATAGTGGATTTATTGCTAGACAGAACCTTGAGGTGAATTTCAGTCCTTCAATCTATCATCATATGTCTTAATAAGGTTACTATATTATCATCTACACTATATATTCTCAATGTATCTACCAGCCAGTCGATGATAAGTTGTTCTTTGCAACCCACGGAATCCTCAACGCATTCTTTTTGTTTAGGTTCTACAGGGTTACACAGGATGTGATCAATTCATACAGAGTTGGAAGACGAGTAATTGGGCGGTTCTCGGCTGACTCTTGGGTACCTATTAATTTGATACTTCGATATTAAGTTATTCACTGAGTTAAAAATGATGGTATTTCCTGGGATGAGAAATAACACGATTAATTAGTGTTGACAAGTACTCAAGAGCATTTAAAAACTTCTTAGGCTAGAAGTTTTGAACTCTGTCTGGTCCAGAAGATGTCCAATCATGAAGCTATTTGATGATATTAGAGACTTCTTCTGTGGCGAATGGTTCATAGACAGTTGCACAGTGGTGTTGACAGCTGGGCGTCGTATTTTCTATCTATCCACATTGGTGTTTAGAGCAGCTGGTTTGTAAAGTTGATTTCCCAAAAACTCCTGAATTTATGCAAATATTTCAGCGTATGAGCTTCTACGACGTAATTAGGTAGAACTCCAGTATTTATAATTTGTAGTAGAACACCTAGTTTTTTAGAAGAGTTTACTTTTGGTAGCGGTGGTTTACTACGGTTATTTGTTCCAATAAACTCATTTTGCTTACCAGGGTATCGCGTAACTCGTTGTTATTAATAATAATGCTTATTATATAATAACCCAATAAATGTTTACTTAATAATAATTTTATTTTTAGTTCTTCTCATTCCGATTATCTAAATCCAAATTCATTAGACGGAGTAATAAGTGTAAATGTATATGACGAAAGCAAAATTGAGATTAAAAAGCTTAACAAAAACTGTGTTAATTGGCTTGGAGGCGTAGATATTTTGCTTTCAGCCGTATGCTGCTTGGACAGTGTAAGTATAGAATATCAACACATACATGTTTATATCAGTTTTTTTCTATATCATTATGTCATTTGAGTTTAGTGTCCTGAAAAAAAAAAACAAAACAACTACAAAATATTTATTTTTATGTGGATTTGCAGATGTCGGGATATTTCCAAATAAAAGTGCCATATCTATTGCTAGATTACGAAGACGAAACAGAAAACATCACAAAATAAATCACCCAAACTCATTGGTTCTCCTATTAATAGAAGTTATTTGTATTTGGATATATTTTTGGAACCAAATGTACCTAAACTTGCTCCAAACATGGTAATAATAATTGTAACAGACTTACAAAATCTCTTTCCAATTCCAATAAATTAAATTCGCGTATTCTGGGACCAAAAATAGTTCGATCGTACTTAACTTACCTTAGTACAAATATGCACATAAAAAAGTTAGAGCCCTTTGAAGTTAGAAATTGACAATCGATTTTTCTCAATATATAAAAAACTATTAGAGTTTTTATATTAAAAATGGATATGTTAAAAGTGGACCATAAGGAAGAATATAAGGACAATGAAGAGGAAGAACAAAGCGGGTTCCGTGCAGAAAGATCGTGCACTGATAACGTATTTTGTCTTAAACAAATAATAGAAAAAAGATCAGCTAAGAATCTAGAAACTCATATTACTTTTGTAGACCTGCAAAAAGCATATGACAACATCCCCTTAACAACATTGTGGACAACGTTGCAAAGATCTAACATCAACCACACATTGATAAATGCTGTACAAGAACTATATAGAGACTCAAAGGCACAGATAAAAACAGGAAAATATCTAACGGAAGAATTCCTGGTTACAAAAGGCTTGTGACAGGGATGCTGTATCTTACCAACCTTATTCAAGATATATGTTGCACTAGCATTGGAAAGATGGAAAAAAAAGGTGCAAAGGATGGGTATAGAACTCAGCAATGAATGTATATATACACTTCAGTTTGCTGATGACCAGGTAGTACTAGCGACCGACAGGAAAGACATGCAGTACATGCTTATAAAACTGATAGAAGAATAGAACGACTGGGGAATGAATGTCAATACAACAAAAACCAAATATCTTTGTATTGGAAACAAGTCAGATAACATAGACCTCGAAAACGGACAACATATTTTCTGCTGTCAGAGCTGTGACTACTTGGGTTTTGCCTTTGACAATACAGGAACTGATACACGGGAAATAGAAAAACGAATCACTCAAGCAAAGAAAGTCTTAGGATGTCTCAATGGTATACTGTGGAGTAAAGAGATAACGAAAGGAAGAAAATTTAATATATATGAGACCATGATTAAAACTACTCTTCTTTATGGCGCTGAAACATGGAGAATTAGTGAAAAGAACAAAAAGAACAAAAACTTGTTTGCCTCTTATTAGTTTTTCGATATGCCAGTTTTTATTGAAATGTTTCAAAATTTCTGAGTACCTAACAAAATGTAAAATATAAATAAATTTTTATATTATCAGGTCTCTTTAATTTTATCTAATAATTTAAAAATATGTGGTGGATTTTACAAATGTTCAAAATGACCTTTATTTTCTTGAATACATATTCGTCGCCGTTAAAAAAAATATTGAATATTTTTAAAATCATGGGCTTCTGACGAAATCGATTTGCAGCTTTCACGATTATGTTCGTTAATTGTTGTTCGTGTATAATTAGTAAGGAATATATTTATTCATTCATAAAACCTCCAAAGCAATGTCAATTAGGTTAAGTTCTGCATCTCTGGTTGTCCAAGAAATAGGCGCATCAGCGGCCTTTTCAATCCAACGTACAGGACACTGCTGTAAAAGGTATTTTATTATGGTAATGCTCTGGAGCGCCATCCTGTAAAAACCACATATTTTTCCTTTTTCCATAGGCGTGGTTAGTCTTCTGTGAGACTAACCTCGCCTAAGTACTATGGTAACACCTTTCGTAGAAAGTGTAAATAATTTTCACCGTTTAAATTATAGTTTGGAAGAAAAACTGGTCCTATTAGGTTATTATCCACAATTCCTGCCAAACATTGACTTTAAAATGTCTTTGGTGATTAAACTTTTTTTTGCGTGTGGATTTTCTTTGGCCCAGATGTGCGTGTTATGATGGTTCGTAATGCCATTTCTGTTAAATATATTTTTTCGTCGGTAAACAAAACATGATTATTAAAATTAACATTTTTGTATATATTTTCCGTTAAAAACCAATTGCAAAACCTTAATTTAGGATAATCTTCATTCAGTAATTCTTGAACGGATGTTAAGTGATTGGGATAAAACTGCTGTTCCTTGTATCTTCACTAAATTAACATGCGAAAAACCTCTAATTCAGCCACTATTACTCTTGTGTTGCTTCCAGAGATTTCTTTAATTACTTCCAAAATATCTTCATCATGTGTATATACTTTTGGTTAACCATTATTACTAACTCGTGGCGATCGCAATGTGCCTGTCACTGCCTGTCTCACGTAAACGACGATCAATGGAGAGAAATAATCGCCTGCCTGGTGTATTTCGATTAGGATATTTTTCTGCATAACGCTTTGCAGCTACTGCAATATTCCTTTCGAATTCACATGTAATTACCTAGAATTAAATGGATATCTGCCATTTCTGAAAACGTATACACCATTGTATAGTTTATTTTTATGAACGAGAGAGTAATTAGCATAATTTTAACTGGTGCCTTCGACCACTCCATGGGCGTGCTCAAGAATAATTGAAAAATTACTTTAAATAATTGTAAAAAATAAATGAATTATTTCAGTGTTATAAAGTGTTATGTGTATGTAAACAAAAGTAACCTCTTTTATCACACACTATATTAGAACTGACTGGCCTACATTAAAAAGGGTTTTAAAAAATTCACATTTTTTTTAATTTTTAAAAATTACAAAAGAGAAAAAGAGTTTTTAAAACCGTCTAAGGTATGTTAAATAGATGAATAAAAATATTAATATAAAACTTACAGCTACTTGTTACAAATCCAAATCAGATTCAGAAGATGAACTTTCAGAACCAAGACTTATAATAACTGGCTCGATCATTTTATCAGTAATATTGTCCAGCTTCCACATTTTTTCCTCTTCTTTAATAGTGTGATTTACTGCCTTTTCCCAGTTTTCAGGTTTTACATTATTTACGGCCTCCAAAAACAACTGTTTAACATCATGAATTTTAAAAGTGGTGTTTTTTCTTGAAACTTCACTCTTTATCTGTGCCCATACCAGTTCAATCGGGTTTAATTCACAATGATATGGTGGGGATCTAAGTACTGAGATTCCACGATTTTTGGCAATTTCACCAATTTCGTATTTTTTAAATTTTTCTTTATGAAGGGCACACAACGAATAAAGTTCCTTTCTTATAGATCCGGGATGGTACGTAATATTTTTTGAACTCAGCCAATTCTGCAAGTCTTTTTTTAACCACTTGGTTGTGGGCAGTCCTTCTATAAGTCTGAAGTGATAACTTGCATTATCAATTACTATTACACAGTTCTTAGGAAGAAGATCTATCATTTGTTCGAACCATTCTTGAAAGACATCAGCGTTCATGTCTTCATGGTAGTCACCGGTACGAGTTGATTCAAAAGTTAATAAACCACCTTCAACAAAACGGTCTGAACTGCCAATGTGTACTATTATCAGCCTGCTTCCCTTTCTGATGGTGGGTTTAAACCAGTAGATAAGTTATTTACAAAAGCGTGCCTTTGACTTGTAACAGTTTCATCCTGCCAAAATTTATTTGGTGTATGACCCTCGTTGATCCATGTTTCATCAAGATAAAATATTTTTCTTTTTTGGTTTCTCATTTCTTTTATGGTTCTTAGAAAACGTCTTCTCCATATGACAATATCGCTTCTTTCTAATAAAATAGACTTTCTGGGATTCTTTTTCCAGCGGAAGCCTATTTCTTTTAAAAGTTTCCATAACGTACTTCGACTCATTTCTGGGTAATCCTTATCAACTCGAACTGAGACAAGAACTTTATCCAATGTTGGAAATTCTTGTCTAAAGAAGAATTCATGCACTTTCCGTCGAAGTCCTTCTTTAAACTGATATTCTATTTGAAATTTTGGTTTCCCTGGAGCATTACGTGGCATTTGAAAACTACCACATTTCTCTTCTTTAATAACTCTGTAAATCGTAGATTTCCCAACACCAAGTGTACTGCTAACTAACTCAACGGTCTCATCAACACTTTCACATAAACGTTTGTCTGTAAATGATTTAAAACAATTAAATATTAATGTTTTTTCATTAACTGTTAAAGGACCAATTTTTCGGCGTTTACACAGAACCTTCCAAATTTTCCATAACACTAGTATACAAAATAAACTGCACCTTGCAACTGAAGTACCTACTTTTAGTGAACTGTTAAGAATTTTGAATACGCCACTTGGACCTTCCTACAAAATGAAAAAACCCACTATCACATTTTCTGTGGAATAAGTTTAGAAGGTAATTTCTAGTCAATTACTGTCGTAGATTCCTGGAATTCAAGAATTAAATGTTTGATTGTTGAAACCCTTACTTCATGTAATGCACTCATTTCAGATAAAATAAAACGTTTTATTTTATTTAAAGAATTAAACTTTATTTTGCAAATAGGTAGGTACTTATTAAACTTTTATTGGTTATATATAACCAATAAAATAAACATCTTACATTTCTTGCAAATTCATTAGTACCTGTTAACCTCCATCACTCCGACACTGGCAACCTTATTTAGGGATTAGTAACCCTCACAACTATTGTATTCTATTCTGCTCCAACCTTTATACCTGGTGGTCATACTCAATTTAAAATTGTTTTCCTATATACTTCTGTAAACTTGTTGACAAATATCTGTTTTTCATTGAGTCACCCGTATCAACAGTTTAGGGATTTGCATACATAATTTATTGTTTTATTACTCTCTCATACATAAAAATACACATATATAATAGAAAATTTTATTTTTCTTAATAATCTTAAATGCACA